ATATATATATATATATATATATATATATATATATATATATATATATATATATATATATATATATATACATATATATATAATATATATATAAATATATACATAATATATATATAATATATATATACATACATACATATATATACATATATATATATATATATATATATATATATATATATATATATATATATATATATATATATATATATATATATATATATATATATATATATATATATATATATATATATATACACATATACATACATTATATATAATATATATATACATACATACATATATACATATATATATACATATATATACATATATATATATATATATATATACTATATATATATATATATATATACATATATATATACATATACATATATATACATATATATATATATATACATATATATATATACATATATATACATATATATATATATATATATATATATATATATATATATATATATATATATATATATATACATATATATATACATATATATAGACACACACACACACACACACACACACACACACACACACACACACATATATATATATATATATATATTATATATATATATATATATATACATATATATACATACATATATATATATATATACATATATATACATATATATATATATATATATATATATATATATATATATATATATATATATATATATATATATATATATATATGTCATATAAGAATTTCTCATATGCAAAATTTATCCAATTTATTCTAATCAATTCTAATAAATTTTTGTAACTATGAAATATTAGCGTGTTTTTTCATATGCCAATTTTATTTAAATGTAGGCCTATTCTTAATTGTAATTACTGTCCCGTTAAATTTCGTAGTGGCATAACCTAACTTAAGGCTCGTTGGCGTGGGAATGAATTTATTCCTCTGTTAAGTGTGGGCCAAATATTATAACGGCCATAGAAACACCTTAAATATCTTAATATCCTATTTTAATTACCAATGAACAAATGACATATCAATCCGTAAATCTTATCAATAAACATAACCAATATTCTCAAATAATTCGATTCATAGCTAAAGTTAATTCTATATACCCTCCCTTTTCCCACTAAATATGAATCAATGACGTTTTAATAAACAATAAAAAAATATACGTTAGACAGAATCGAGAACCCTCACACAGGACATAGGACATAAGCCGATCATTCCCCTTCCTTCCTTCCTTCTTTACCATTTTCCTCTTACACTTCGCTCTGAAAACTAATTCCACTCTCTACCTATTCCTTGATACCCCCGGACCTGTCACATGCGGCTACTTCCGTTACTGTATCTACGGATCACTAAAAATAACGAAATAACTAGCATTGTTTTCCCCTGGCAATAAAACATTATGGCCTGTTCTCGCCGCATTCTCTAACATTTCTCCTCTCTGCTACATGGAGAAAGGCCTGGACTCGTCTTAATCATCATAAATCAATACAAAGGGATTTAACTACTACGTTAATACACTTATCAAATATTACAATCTATTATATGAGGGTAAAACACGACTTAAAATACCAGCACTCAGCTTACCTGTTACGTGGAGGAAGGCAAGGATAAGTCTGCCGAGAAATCGTTAAAATAGCGAACTTGTTGCTTTCCCCAAACGAATAACTGGCATTTAAACAAACGAACCATTTATAAATTATTATAATTTACTCTTTGATATAAAACAAATTTTTTCTATATTGATATGCCTTTAGATTTCTGAAAATATATAAACAAATGTTTCAGTGACGAACGTACATTTTTGAAATCAGAAACAGTGCACCTTTTTAAATGTCGAATAAATAATGATCTCGACATATAGAGTACTGGGGACCTCACTGTTTTTTCTCCAAGTTTACTACCAATGATGTCAGTTGAATGAATAATGCTCAACGACGTGAATGGGACATTTTCAATATGTCCTTCCTCCGGTATAGTGCTGTTGAAAGAGCAGGACACACTAGATCGTCATCAGGATACTGATACAGGTGTCCAGATTAGCAACTTGGAATGTGCGTACATTTGAGAATGTAAAAAAGGAGATGAAGAGATTGAACATTGATATAATGGGGTTAAGTGAAGTTCGATGGACTCAGGTATTTTTAGATCAGGTGACGTAACTATGAAGTACTCTGGCAAAAGTGATGTACATGAAGCGGGAGTCGGCATTTCATTACAAAAAGAAGTAGCTAAATCCTTGATGGGTTTTCATGCGGTGTCAGAAAGAGTGATAATGATCAAACTTAAAGGAAAACCATTTAACTATGCTATTATTCAAGTGTCTGCCCCAACGAGTAGTAGCACGGAAGAAGAAATAGGTTTTATTCAGAAGTTGAAGAGGCTAAGCTTCAGCAGTGTGGATCGCAGGAAGTGGTGACTGTGATCGGGGATTCGAATGCTAAAGTCCGTCTAGATAGATACCAATCAGTTGTGGGAAATTGTGGACGGTGGAAAGAAAGAACCTGGCGAAAGATTTATGGAATGGTGCCAACAAAATGACTAATTTTTAATCTGTGGTTCAAAGAGCATCCTAGAAGGCTGTGGACTTGGAAGAGTCCAGATGGAAGAACAAAGAATCAGATTGATTACATTGCTATATCGCAAATGTTCCGGAATGCAGCGGTAAAAGTCAAAAGTCATCCAGGTGCAGATTGTGATAGTGATCATGTACCAGTTGTAGGAAATTTTAGAATTAAGTTAAAGAAACAAAATGTCAAAAAAGAAATAATTTGGAATTAAGTGCATTGAAGAAGGATAGGACTAGAACAAAATACAGAGAACTGGTTCAGCAAAAAAATGGAAAATGTAAATGAGGAAGTAGAGATAAATGAATTATATGAAAATATGAAATTGGTATTAGTAAAAACGGCAGGTGGTACCGAAGAATACTCCTAAGAGTAATCAGTCATGGATGACAGACGAAATTTTGGAGTTAATGGATGTATGAAGAAAAGTGAAAAATAATGAACAATATGAGCAGCTGAATATTGCAATCAGGAAAAAAATGTGATGAAGCAAAAGATAAGATGTTGAATGATCAATGTGAAGAGATAGAAAGGTTTGCAAGATTGAATCCAGGAAAAGCCCATAGTCTTGTGAGGCAGGTAACTGGTAGAAAGAAAGGTGGCTGTAATGCATCTAGGTGTATTGAAGCTAAAGAGAATACTGATCATGGAAAAAGAACATTCTAGAGAGGTGGCAAGAATACATGAAAGAGCTGTCTGAAGATGATCGTGGTGAAAAACCGGTCATAAGAATAGTGAAAATTTACCTATCTTACAAGATGAGGTAGCATAAGCAATAAAGCAAACTAAAAGTGGTAAAGCAACTGGTCCTGATGAGACAGCAATAGAAATGATAGACGCACTGGAAGATTCTGGCATTGAAATGATAACGAAGTTGGCAAATAGAATATAGGATGAAGGTAAATTTCCAGAAGATATGTGTAAGTCAGCGTTCATTGCAATGCCAAAGAAACCAGGAGCAGTTAAGTGTGAACTTCACAGGGCGATTAGTCTGATGAGCCACATGTCGAAGATTTTACTAAGGGTTCTGATTAATAGAGTGAAAGGAAGAACGAAAAGCGTAATTGGAGAGGTGCAGTATGGGTATGTTGAAGATAAGGGAACGAGGAGTGCCATCTACTTGTTGAGGATGATGATGGAAAGGTCAAATTCAAGTACAGAAAGATTTGTATGTGTGTTTCATAGGTTATGTTAAGGCTTTTGACAGACATGAAAAGTTGATGGAAGTGCTGGAAGAGTTGGATATTGATTGAAGAAAATTAAAACATCAGAAATCTCTACTGGGAGCAAACTGCGGCTGTAAGAGTTGATGGAGAAGTAAGTGAATGGCTTGGAGTTGAGAGAGGAGTGAGACAAGGCTGCCTGATGTCACCAAATCCTTTCTCGCTCTACACAGAGAAGATTATGAGAGAAATTGAAGATGTTGAGGGTGTCAAAATTAAGGGAATAAATGTCAATAATATAAGGTTTGTAGATGGCACAGCACTAGTGGCTGACTCGGAGGACAAGCTACAGAAATTGCTGGATGTGGTAGTTGAACATAGTGACCGGATGGGTCTTTATATAAATAAGAACAAATCCTTTTGCTTAGTTGCATCAAAAGAGCACTGCCGCCAAGATGTCAAATCAAGGTACATGAGGAAACGCTGGGGCAAGTTGGGTCTTTTTTGACCTAGGAATTAGAGTGACTTCGGATGCACGATGTGACGCAGATACAAAAGCAAGAATTGGACAGGCAAAGGCTGCATTTGAGAAGATGAAGAGTGTGTTAACGAAAAGAAGAGTGAAGATAAGTACCAGACTGAGATTACTGAAATGCTATGTATGGTCAGTATTGCTGTATGGCAGTGAAACATGGACCATGACTGCAACTATGAGGATAAGACTGGAAGCCATGGAAATGTGGTGTTATCGCAGAATGTTGAAGCCAAGCTGGACAAGAAAGGTCACCAATGTGGAAGTGTTTATAATGTCCGTCTTTCTCTTGTTGATGACTAAAAACACACATCGATGCAGTATGGCACTCGGAAAGTGGCATAAGGCTAGCTAGGGTGTGGCACTCTTCACGCGCACTCAACAATGCAGGCTCTTCAGCACAGCATACGTGCTTGCGTCCGTCTCTCTGTCTCTTTTCCGGCGGTTACGGGAAATGCGCAATTAAAAGACAATACCCATCATATTGGTATAGATAGATAGACTCTGCCCACTTGCTTTTGGAGGCATTGTTGAAAGAGAATAGTGCTGCCTGATTAAGGAGCTGATGTGTGTGTGTGTGTGTGTGTGTGTGTGTGTGTGTGTATATATATATATATATGTAAAGGTTGAAAAAGAGATCTTGATTACTGGCCTGGGCCCGCCACCAGTACAACCTTTTGCGGATCACCTCTTTGTTGTTCAGATTTAATATTGGGTTTTAAGGAAAAGAAACGTTTAATATCCAGATTTATTACTCTATTTCACATTACACGCACAATACACACAATACAAAATTATAAAAAAAAATAAATAAGAACCCGCAAAATAATTCAAATGATGAAGCAATAAAATAATATCCTATTACCCCTATTTTTTTGTGCACTTATTATGTATTATTATGTGACCAATGTAACCTTAAAGTTCACTGTTTCCTTAATATCTTACGTAAAGTCCGGGTGTGATACGTTTTACTTTTTCTTTTCCACTTCACTTTTCTTCACTTTCTCTCCTCTTCTCTATCTTCAGACTTATAGCTGCTTCTCCTCCTCACGCCTCACGCCTCACGCCTCACGCCTCACGCAGGCAGAAGGGCGTACTTTGTGACGTGGCTCAGCAATGTTACAATACACACCGGAAACCCTGTTGATTCATAAATACCCTTATTTTACTTCATGTCTACTTTCTTTTTTGTTCAGTATTAAAATCACTTTCACTTTTACTAAGGGTTTAACACGGGTTTGCTTTTCCTTACCGAGGATTTATAAGAGGTATGGTTGATTGCCCCCTCGGGTGGGTGTGTCTCGTCTGGGCAGCTGTCTGAGAGTGAATGGGACGTCACGCTAGGGGATTCCCCGGGACATTCATTGTTTTATTTTCATCTGTTGGTTCATGTGATTTTCTTTTGTTATATTTTATTTGCACATTACTCTAGTTCAATTTATTTTCATTGGTCACATTTTCTTGTTTTTCTATTTATGTTTTTTTTCATTTTCTTTGGTTACGGAATGAATATTGTTCACTCATTAGGTCACTTACTTATTAAAAAATAATTACAATGATTACATAGAAAAAAATATATAATGTAAAAATAACAAAACACACACCACATTCAACATTCATTTACTCGTCCAACATTTTATTTCATTCGAATGCATACATCCTCACATACATACGTCACTGCTTCACGGGGCTTCGTTCACACTTCGACTCGCACTCATTCACTCCTAGCAGTCGCTACGCTCACGTAGGATAACTGCCATTTGACCTTGTTTATGACAATGTCCTTCTCTTGCATTCCTTACCCTTTCAATCGCCCCCTCTATTTTTTTCGGCTCAGCTCCACTCTGAGCCTCGAGAAACATAAGATTAAAGAACACCTGAGGTTTTCCAACATCTGAACCTCTCATCTAGCCTCATTTACCATATGGAGACCAGCATAAGAATTACTTTTCCAATCACAGCATCTTCCCCTTATCCAGCCTGAATAAACAGTGTGGAAACTGCATAAGATATACCATTCCTTTACTCCTGCAACTTTATTTTTCCGATTACCCAGCCGATGTACAGAGTCGAGTCTGGTGTAAGGATGCACATTCCCATCAATCTTGTCACCGGTTCATCTTTCCTAATCCTTTCTTTCCTTCTTCTTTCCCATCCCTCTCCTATCGGGACCTACCACTTCCTACACTATCCTTCCCTGGCGTCAGTTCCATAACAGTTCTTACCACTTCCAGGTTCGGAGCTCGGCGTCAGTCCAGTCATTCCTACCTCATACAAGATCTTCACCTCCGTTCTCTTACTCCCGAAGCGATTATAGCTTTTCGCATTCACAGTCTCTTCACTATCATTCCGTTGCTCATTATCCAATTCAACACATTCGCTTCAGTCATGACAAAATATACACTTCTGCTGCTTCATATAAATTCTATATAATTATTTTACATTTCCCATCACCCCAAAATAAATATCCCTTCACCGTATCCTAGACACTAATGAAGATGGAAGGAGTAGGCATAGTCTTAAAGAAAGATAGATTTAGCTCAAGTAAGGCAGAGGACGCCAATCCTCGTTCAGGATAGAACCCTGCTTTCACCTTCCCTTACACTAAAAATAAGTAGTAGATATAGTAGACTTAGCTCAAGTAAGGCAGAGGACGCCAATCCTCGTTCAGGATAGAACCCTGCTTTCACCTTTCCCTTACACTAAAGATAATAGTAGTAGATATAGTAAAAGAGAAAAGATAGATTTAGCTCAAGTAAGGCAGAGGACGCCAATCCTCGTTCAGGATAGAACCCTGCTTTCACCTTTCCCTAGCATGTCATCCTCACTTTCCCTATCCCTTATTGTCTCCTACTATTCTATTACGCAATCGCCGTGGGGAAGCATCAGCTGCAGAGCTGTCCTCTTCTAACTTGGATTTTACCTCACATGGTTGCAGTTTTGGTGCCGCTCTTAAATTACACCTATTCTCGACCTGACTTGCTCTTCATCGCATGATTTTATTTTGTAAAGTCCATTTTTAGCATCTAATACTTCATCTATTATCCACCTTTCACTATACCACTCATCCTGCATCTTGCATCTCCCTATCTTAACATTATTCTTTAACAAAACTTCTTGTCCAACTCTCCAGTCAGGTACTTTCGCTTTTCCTCTCTTTGTTTCCTTGTCATACTTTTTGTTTATTTTCATTTCTTTCGCTACTTCCCATATAGTTTTTTGAATCTCTACCAATTCAGCCATCCAATCATCTACAGTTTCATCGATTTCATTTACTTCTACTGGGTCGCGCGGCATCTTCGGTTCCCTACCAAACAATAAGTGGAAAGGTGAATGACCTGTGGTAGCGTGTGGGGTCATATTATAGTGCGAAACCAGTGCAGATACGTGTTCCGGCCACTTTTTTTTCGCGTTCGTCTAACGTTACTAATAATCCATGTAATGTCCGATTGAATCGCTCACAACACCCATTTCCCTGTGGATGATACGCCGTCGTCCTGATTTTCTCCACCCTATAACTTTTGCACAATTGTTTGATCAATGAGCTTAAGAAATTCCTTCCCTGATCTGACAGAAGTTTATCTGGGGCCCGAACTTATCAAAAATGTGTTCTTTCAAAATTTTTGCAACTGTTGCGGCCTTTTGATCTTTAGTCGGAAAAGCAAAACTAAATCTTGTGAATACATCAGTTATAATCAACACATTTTCTATCCCCTGACGTTTATCCAATACTGTAAAATCTATGGCCAACATTTCCCATGGTTTTCCAGCCTCGATCTTGCCCATCGGTGTGCAGGGCTTTGGAGTCTCGGCCTTCGCTACACAGCATCTTTCGCACCTCTTGATATATTCTCCCACCGATTCCGACATACTTGGCCAAAATCCCCGACTTCTGACTAGCGCAAGAGTTCTGTTCCTTCCTTGGTGACCCCAGTCATCGTGACATGCCTGCAACAGCTTGTATTGCAATCCTGGTGGTAAAACCGGCCTAATTCTCCATAAATTTACTCCCACACTCATCTTATGCCAGATTATTCCATCCTCCACTAATAAATTTTGTTTTACTTTATGCAGTTTTCTAAATTCTTCGTCCTCCAACATTTTCTTTAGCTCCTCTGTTGTCATTTTGGTTGTTAAGAACGTCATCATGTTATTAAAACATTTCATTTCCTTCTGATACTCTTTCAACTCTTCCGTCGACCATAGCTCTCCCCCCATGACTTCCTCTGCTGTTCCCATTACTGAAAACTCCTCCTCTCCATCGCTTTCCAATTCCTCAGGTAATCTGCTTAATTCATCTGCTATTGTATTGTCTTGACTAGGTTTGTACTTTATTTTGAAATCAAACTGCTGTAATTCACTCACCCACTGACTTTCTACTGCACCCAGTTTTGAAGTTTCTAAGTGACTTAATGGGTTGTTATCTGTGTATACAGTAAATTCCTTTCCCACTAAGTAATCCTTGAATTTATTGCATACAGCCCATTTTAACGCTAACAGTTCCAGTTTTCTGGAACTATAGTTGTCATATTTTTTTTCTGATCTTCTTAGTCCCCTGCTAGCGTAACAAACTGGGTGAATTTTACCGTCGTATTTTTGCGACAAAACTGCGCCCAATCCTTTAAAACTGGCATCGGTCTCTAGAATGAATTCCCGTGAAAAGTCGGGACATTTTAATACCGGTGCTGTAAATAATTTCTTCTTTAAAGTCTCAAATGCTTTTTGACAAATTTCATCCCACTCCTTCGAAATTGATCTTCGTGAATCACCTGACATAAGTTGATGAAGTGGCGCCGCAATCTGAGCAAAATCTTTAATAAATTTCCTGTAAAATGAACAGAACCCTATGAACGCCCTCACATCCTTGACCGTCTTTGGCAATGGCCATAACTTCACTGCGTCTACCTTTGCTGGCTCTGTGCTAATCCCTTCTCCAGACACTTCGTATCCTAAGTAAACAACTTTATTTGCAAACAACTTGCATTTATTTGGTTTGAACTTTAAACCATATTTCCTCATACGCTTAAAATATTCTTCCAGTCTATCTAAATGTTCCTCCACCGTACGACTAAACACAATGACGTCATCCAAATATACTAACAAAGTATGAAAAATTTTGTCTCCTAATATACGTTCCATATATCTTTGGAAGGTGCTAGGACTATTTGAGAGTCCCATTGGTAACCTTTTAAACTCGTAATGGCCAAAGGGAGTGCTAAAGGCAGTTTTCTGTTGATCTTTGGGATGGACCTCAATCTGATGATAACCCGCGGCTAAATCAAAAGTAGAGAAAAAGCGAGCTCCCTCTAGTGCCTCGACCGTCTCATCAATTCGCGGTAGCGGAAAAGCGTCCCTTATCGTGTACTTATTCAGTTGCCTGTAATCGACACACAGTCTAAGTGACCCGTCTTTCTTTCTTACTACCACTATCGCTGCGGAGTAAGGACTCACGCTTGGGGTTATAACTCCTTGTTTACACAACTCATTTATATGATTTTTCACCTCAGAAACTTGATGCGGCGGGATTCGTCTGTATGGCACTCTTATTGGCTGGTCTGTCATTAGTGGTATAACATGCTGTACCCCCGTAGCTGTACCAATTGGTCCATTTTCCTCTGCAAAAATATCACTGAATTCCCACAATAGTTTCTCTAACCTTTCTCTCTGCTTCCTATTTAAACATTCTTCATTTATCATTACATCTACTTTCTTATCTGTCGCTTTTATCTCTGCATTTCTTACTTCCTTCTCTTCTACTTTATCTATTTCAGTGATCTTGCCTATTCGCCAGTTCCTCCTAAGCTTGACAACATTCCCTGAAAGATTAGCAATTAGTGCGAAACCCTTCCCCCGCTCAATCCTCACTACGGTAGGCAATGCCACAATCCCCTCTGGAACCCATCCTTCATGAGAACCCAGAAGAGGCTCTACCAATACTTCCTGTGATTTTACCCGTCTTAGTTGAGGAATATTTACCGGTACTAATCTCACAGTTTGTCCTGGTATAATAGGAATCTGACTTTTCGCTGTTAGTACAAAACCTCGATTATCTTCTACATTTAACTGACCTAATCTATTTATATCACTAATATAATCCCGCACATTCTCTTCACCAGCACCTGCTCTGCTTAACTTATACATGACAGCCATATTTCTGCAACTTCTGATAAAATATTCATACCCCACAAACAATTGTAATTTTCACCTACTTCATCACACACAAGCAATGCTACATTTCCCACTTCAACCCCGCACATCTCTAATGTAACAATTACTTTGCCTCTACATGGGACCAAACTCCCTCCCATTGATCTTATCTTAGCGTTTGACCTTTGTAGTCTTATTCCATTCTTCTTCAAGAAAGTCTCGTAGAAAAAGTACTAATTACAGATACTTCTGCACCTGTATCGCATAACCCCATCATCTCTACTCCTTCTATACTCACAGCTATCTGAGGAGTCTTTGCTTGCATCTTAACATTATCTTCCACTTCTCTTCTACTTACTTTACAAAACTTCTGCCCGCCGTTCGCAACACACTCAGCTACATCATCATTGGGTCCCCCGGGTTGGCGGTCGTCTATCTCCCCGTTGGACCCTC